GGGGGGGGTCCACTCCACCCAGGGAGGCCATCACTGCCGGATGCCATTAGCCAGACAGCTGGGCCCCTGGGACGAGTCCTCAGCGGCGTCTTTGCCTGTAAAAGACTAATAACCGACGGTCACTGCCTGCCTTGAAACTGACAGGGCTCACACCCTGGGGCACGTCAGCGTCCTCCAGCACCTCTTGTTGCTCTCCCATGGTGGGGCCTCCAGCAGTGGGAAGCAGGTTGTGGACAGCCTGCAGCTTGGCACCACTCTGTGCTAAAAGCACACCTGCTCTCACTGCTTGGGAGGTTCGGCCTGTGCTCGACCCACAGGTGCCCTTACCAAGAAAGGGGCCTGTGGGAAGGGGCACCCACAGCATGAGTGATGATGGGCAGGGCAGGGACAGAACAGCAGGGCCCTCTGGATCTGAAGGTTTCAGGTGGAAGGCAGGCCACTTGGGGAGCGTTGCCCCCACCCCCCAACCCTGCCCCTCTCCTGTACTCCTTCCCATACTGGTTCCCACTCAGGAGGCCTCAGCCGGGATTCTGAGGCCGGGGCCTTTCTGGGGCAGTCACCAGACAGTGCTGCCAGGTCTAGCATGATGGCCGACCTGTAGTTTTTACCACATGGGGGCGCTGTTGTCAGACATAAAGCCAGCAGGGGCGTCCAGAAACTGATTCTTTGCCAGCATCTGTGAAGTTGGCACCATGGGTACGCGGAGGGCAGAGGCCTACGCCCTGATGGCCTGGCCACTACGTGGCCGCCTTGTGGGTGAATGGCCTCTCCCATCCTCCAGTGATGCAAACCAGGAGGGGCCACTAGTCCTCCTGGCCCCCCAATGGTCCCAGAGTGGGGGAAGTCCCACAGGAAGGAGGGGTTGCACTGAAGCGGGGCTGCCCTTTGTGTCACCTCATCAGCACTGGTGGGCCACACCGGTCAGGGCAGGGGGCTCCCCAGGTGGCTGAAACCACTGTTTCAGCTCAACAGCTGTCAGTGCAGTGTGGTTTTCTCTGCCCTTTGGGAACTGAAGGTTAAACCTGAAACAAGAGCTGCTGTGGGGTTTCTGTTCATTCCCTGGGTTCCAGGCTGGTGCTGGGGGAGGGGGCGCCTGCAAAGGGCTTGCTTCCTGGGACTCATGTCGCCTTCGGTCTGTGTTTCACAGCGACTCTGACCTACGACACGCTCAGGTTCGCTGAGTTTGAAGACTTCCCTGAGACCTCAGAGCCTGTGTGGATCCTGGGCCAAAAGTACAGCGTTTTCACAGGTACTGGCTCTGCCATGAGCTGACCACCACCGCCCTGCAGGGATGGGCCACCACCTGGGCCAGGGCTCCTTCCACAGGGCTCTACTTCAGGCAGATGACCCAGGCAGTGCACTGCATGCACGCCTCCCCGCCCATGTGTTGGGAAGGCTTGTGTGTTGCTGGGATGGTGGACACATGTCAGGGACGCTTCCCATCTAAGATTAGGGAGACGGCTGTGAAGACCTCACAGTCTCAAAACGTACCTCCCTGCCATCAAGTCCATGTTCGAGCTGGACGACCCGTAGGACAGGGTGAAACTCTTCCTGTGGTCTCCGAGACTATGACTCCTGATGGGGGTAGAGAGCCTCCTCTTTCTGCTCCCAAGGAGCAGCTGGTGGGTTTGAACCACCAACCTTGTAGCTGCAAGCCACTGTACCTCCAGAGCCCTTTTTGGAAATGTGCTCCTGAAAACCTTGCAGATCAGAGCGGCCAGTGTGTCCATGGGGTTGGACAGAAGCTGGCTCTCAGTTCAGGGACTACTCTCACCGGGATAACTGTGCATGTGTGTGTGCGCGCACGCACACACGTACTGTGTTTCGTTTTAAAACCCTGCAGAGAAGGATGAGCTCTTGTCTGACGTGGCCTCGAGACTGTGGTTTACCTACAGAAAGAACTTCCCGGCCATTGGTAAGGGCCCTCAGGCAAGAGCTGGGGGGCCCCTTTACCCTGTGACACCTCCCCCCAGCCCTTTGCATGCAGGTGGCAGCCTAGATTGGTCCCTCTGTTGGAGCAGCACAGTGGCATGCCAGTGGTCCCTGCTGTGGGTCCCGGGTCGGTCAGGGCCATGGTATGGCAGGTGTTCGTGGTGCCAACAAATTTTCTAGCTATGACTGCCATCCCTTTGGGCATCGTGGCCGCTGTTGGCTGGCTGACGATGATTGTCCCTTGTTCCCATGCAGGAGGGACCGGCCCCACATCGGACACAGGTTGGGGCTGCATGCTTCGCTGTGGCCAGATGATCTTCGCCCAGGCCCTGCTGTGCCGGCACCTGGGCAGAGGTGAACGTGGGGCAGGTGAAGGGAGGGTGCAGAGCATTGCTGAGCCTACTGCTGGCCAAGGCCAGTGTAGTGAAGGGTGGCCTGTGGGTACCTGGTGCCCAGGGAGTCTGTGAGCGTGATGACCTCGCCTGTCCCGCAGACTGGAGGTGGGCCCGGCGCCGGAGGCAGCCTGACAGCTACTTCAACGTCCTCCATGCCTTCATCGACAGGAAGGACAGCTACTATTCCATCCACCAGATAGGTGCGGGCCCTGCTCACCTGGCACCGCGAAACCCCAATCTGCGGCCCTTAAGGGGCTGCTCACTGACAGCCACCCCGGTGAGACTGGTTGAGCTGCCCCTGTGGGTCCCCCAGACCGCGACTCTTTACAAGAGTAGAAAGGCTCGTCTTTATCCTGTGGAGGACCTAGTGGCTTCCAACTGCTGACCTTGTGGTTAGCAGCCTAGTGAGTCACCCACTGCACCACTAGGGATCCTTCCCTTCATCTCCAGAGGGAGTAGAAGCAGCCCCTCCCTCACCCCAAGTGACCCCACACCTGGGCACTTCTCTCTCCTTTGTCTCCTGCTGCAAAGAGGCTCTGACCTGCCTGCCCCCTCTCTCTACAGCGCAAATGGGAGTCGGCGAGGGCAAGTCTATTGGCCAGTGGTACGGCCCCAACACCGTCGCCCAGGTCCTCAAGTAGGTGCCCAGCCACTCCAGACATGCTGGAGGCAGGACTGCGGGAATCCCGTCCTGCCTGTATGGGGTCTGTCCTGTCTATGGGCAGGTCCCTCGGCCATGAGGGAAGTCGGGCTTGGTCAATCCTGCGCTACCCACTGGGCTCCCACACACGCCCTCGCTCTCCCTGGGGGATTGCGCTGCTCTGCGTTGCCCCTAGTTCTGTGGCTGTAATGGTTGTCGGACCTCTGCTCCCTCCCTCCCTGTCCTGCTGCCATCCTGGGCCTCCCTGGATTTGACTCAGCGAGGCTCTGGGCTGACCCGCCCTCTGCTGCACCTCCTCTTCGTGGCTGAGGGCTGACCATGCTCAGGCAGCCTGCTCCCCCAGTGCCCACACACATTGCCTCTGGAACTGCCCTCCCCCACCCTGCAGCCGTGGCCCACGATGACCCTGCTCGCTGTGGTTCCACACAGGAAGCTGGCCGTGTTCGACACCTGGAGCTCCCTGGCTGTCCACATAGCAATGGACAACACCGTGGTCATGGAGGAGATCCGTAAGTGGCCCCTGCCTGGGAGAGGACCTGGGCCTCAGGCTGCTATGAATGCTTCTGGCCGCAGGCCTGCGTGACAGCCGGGGTGGCTCCCCTCCATGGGGCGGCCCTTCTCAGACTCACCACGGGTGCCTTTCTCCCAGGGCGGCTGTGCCGGAGTGGGCCCGTGAGCACAGGGGCCGTGGCTACTCCTGAGCCTTCCAGTCGGCACTGCAATGGGTTCCCGGCCACAGCGGCCCCCTGGAGGCCCCTGGTGCTGCTCATCCCTCTGCGCCTGGGGCTCAGCGACATCAATGAGGCCTATGTGGGCACGCTCAAGGTGGGCGCCCCCGCTCCAGTGTTGGTGGGGGTGGGGTGCTCATCCTGCTGTGCGTGGCTCCCGCTGAGGCCCGAGTCTCTGCCCCAGATGACCCTCCCCTGCAGAACACCAGTCATCTCTGAGCTTAGCTTGTTTGCAACTGAAATTGAAGTGGTTCTGTCCATCACCCCCACCCCGTGTGCCCCCAAGGTTGCCCTCAAGCTGGGGGTCCTCCTGCTCCTGGGGAGCCCAGCCCTCAGCGCCCTTGTCCTTGCAGCACTGCTTCCGGATGCCCCAGTCTCTGGGTGTGATCGGTGGCAAACCCAACAGCGCACACTACTTCATCGGCTATGTGGGTGAGCCCCACTCCCCGGCACTTTCCCTGCAGCCCATTTGGGGTGGGCTCAGCTGCCTGATCCTGACCATTGACCCCTGCAGGGGAGGAACTGATCTACCTGGACCCGCACACAACACAGCCAGCTGTGGAGCTCACGGGCACCTACAGCATCCCTGATGAAAGCTTTCACTGCCCGCATCCGCCCTGCCGCATGGGCATCACCGAGCTCGACCCGTCCATCGCTGTGGTAGGCTGGCTGCCCCCAGAGCTGCTCCGGGACACGTGCCCCACAGCCAGCGAGCCTGCGTGTGACTGACGTGTCGGTCTGCAGAACCAAGCCATCTTGGCTGCCTATGGGGAGGGGAGCCTAGGCATTGCTGGGTGGGCTGGGGTGGGGGAGAGCACAGGGTCACACAGGAAGGAGACTGGCCCTGCTTCCAACCACAGGGGCATTTTCCTTCCAGGGCTTTTTCTGCAAGACGGAGGAAGACTTTGATGATTGGTGCCAGCAAGTCAAAAAGGTGAGGGGGACTGTCTGTACTTGGGGGCACCATTCTCTGTCTGCAGCGGGGGCACCATCCTCCTTGGGGGGGTGGGGGGCTCCCTGGGCTGTGGTCACCGCTGCCTCCTCCCACAGCTGTCGTTGCTCCCGGGCACCCTGCCCATGTTCGAGTTGGTGGAGCAGCAGCCCTCCCACCTGGCCTGCCCGGACGTCCTGAACCTCTCCCTGGGTAAGTGAGTGGATCCTGGGACAAGTTCTCTGGCTGTGCTAGTGCCCCCAGCTGCCCTGGCTGTGTCCCACTGTCTTGATTTTGCCCAACCTGGGGGTTCCTACTTGTCCCTCCCAACACTCCCTGGGGTGCAGGGCTCCAGGTCAGCCCGTCCTGCATTGTCTGGCAGAGCCGCTGCTGAGCTGGTGTCCTCTCCCTTCCCCTGTAGATTCTTCTGATGTGGAGCCGCTGGAAAGGCTCTTTGACTCGGAAGACGAAGACTTTGAAATATTGTCCCTCTGAGGCAGACTCTGCTGGCCCTCGGTGTCTGGCACCCATAGCTCATCCATCCCAGCCTGCCTGCTTGGCAGGGACTGCAGCCGGGCCTGCCCTCGGAGTCAGGGCCGGTCAGCCAGAGCCTCCTGGGCTATCCACCGTCCCCTGGGGGTGGCCGAGAAAGGAGCCCATCAGGGACAGAGCAGGTCTCCATGCTTCCGGAAGCTTCTTCCCAACACTGCCAGCCCCGCGTTCGCCCACCATCTTTCTCCGCTTCTTGCTGGCGCCTCACCCTGTGGTTCTTCCGGAATTAAAGTCCCGTTTGCAGCTTCTCACAGACACGGAGTCGTGTTGACGGGACCCAAGCGCAAGGCGCCCGAGAGCTGAGGCAGCAAGGCGAGGGGCACAGCATCCCCACTGCTTGAAGCCGCCCCTGCGCTGTCACCAAGGGCTACCTCAGCAGGACCACGGGCCTTGGGGAGAAGACGGGGGAACACAGCAGCAAAGCTGAAAGGATGTGAGTCTTGCCTCTGGGTTGGGGGGCACCCCAGCAGGATGTCAGCTCCTGGGTGACCGGTATGCTTGGCACCTCCCTCCTGGTTGCCGAAGGTCCCATTGGTCTGGGGCCAAAGCTGAAAGTGGCCCAGCTGCAGGGTAAGAGGCAGGCAGGTCAGCTGACTGACAGACGGGAACGCCACCCAGCCACCACCTCTGTGCGCTGCCAGCCTTGCCACTGACCCTCAGCCCCAGTACCCTCCAGCCTGCCTTGAGCTGGCCACCCTGAGCTGGGGAGGTGGGCGGCCCCTCGCAGAGGAGCCCTGTTACAGCCCACCCCTCTTGTCCTGCAGGAAGCATCGCTTGTGAGAGAACTTGGTGGGCCACCCCACCCATGGTGGGCAGGCGACACCCCGTCCCCTTTCCTCATCCTGGCCACAGACAACGTGGCCACGGTGTGTGCGGGGGCCACTTCCATTACCTCCCTGCTTGGCATTTCTGTGTCCAGAGAGAGGCATGGGCAGGGGGCAGGTTGCGTGCAGCTGGTTCTCTGCAAAGGCTTCCTGAGGAGGAGGGTGTCCGTTCTGAGTAGTATAGTGTGCAGTCTAAGCGGCAAATAACAACCTGTTTGAGTAGCCCCGTCTCTGTGTCATCATTGTCCCCGGACAGGAAGGATGGGATTGCACGGCACATCAAGCTGGGCCTTTCATGGGCCTGTGGAGCCCTGGGACAGCTGGGCGACTGCCGTGCGTGAGCAGGCGTGTGTACGTATGTGTGTGTACCCAGCATGCGTGGGTCAGGAGTCCCTGGCTGGCGGCTGGCCACTGTCCACTGGCTGGACAGACCTTGTGCCCAGCCCCAGGGTGATCTGGCGTTGGAACACTGGGAGGGAGCGATGGGCCTGTACTTGCAGGGTGACCAGGTTGCAGGACATGTGGCATGCTGGACTACTTGGGGCGTGTCACCACCCTCATGTCCTCTGAGTGCCTGTGGACACAAACTAACTGTCGTGAGTGAAACCTGTGTTGGCCGAGCCCCAATAGAAACCTCTCCAAAGTGGCTTCTGTGGCCACCGGAACAAGTGAACCCTGGAGGGTCCACTCCCATTGTGCACACTTGTTCCCTTGGGAGGGCAGAGGGATTACAGAGGGGTGTGGGAAAATGTAACGCTGCGGCAGAAACTGGTTCTTATGGAAAGACCCCTGTTTCATCTAACAACCAAAGTGTTTTCTGTAGGTGCAGCTTACAGGCACCGATGTGTTGCCAAGGCTAAAAAAAACAACCCAAAACGCTAGTTTCTGAGCCATCTAATAATACTCTGGCTCCTACTCCTCTGTCAGTGTATCTCACCTCTGGTGGCCTCTTCATAACTGTGAAGCCGGGAGCTGTGCCATCAGCATTTCAAGTGTTATTGGGGTAGACAGGTTCCAGCGGCGCCTCCACAAGAAGACCGATGAGCTGGAAGGGATAAATAGATGGTTCACCCTGAAAACCTTGCCCCCGGCAGCAGAACACTGCCCGAGCACCGGGTGATGGGCCGACCCCTCCGCTTGGAAGGCACTTAGAAGACGCCCTCGAAGTATGGTTGACCTTGGTGGCATGAATGGAGTACAGCTTTGGGGACTTTGATTTGCCAATAGGGCCCAGGTCAACATGAGCACAGACAGCTGCACATAACACACTCACACTCAGGACATGGGGTCTCTGAGGTGTGGATCTGGGAAAATGGAAACTCACCAAAACTGAAAGGCAGTATATGAAGATCAAGATCCTTGGCACAACTAAGCTAAAATGGACTGGTATTGCTATTTGGAATTGGACCATGGTGGCTTACTGTGCTAGGAATGACAGGTTCAAGAGGAACGATGTCACTTTTGTTGTAAAAAAAGAACACTGAGATTTTCACGAGGATGGCACTGAAGGCAAAGAAGGAAGCCCCTGTCCCTCCCAAAACGGAAGCCAAAGCAAGGCTTTGGAAAGCGGTGCTGAAAGGCTTCCACAGCCACACACACACACAAAAGAGTGTCCTGAGACTAAAAAGGCAGCCCAAGTACCCTGTGAAGAGCGCCTCCCCCAGGAGAAACAAGCTGTACCATCACGCCAGCATCACGTTCCCCCTGACCATGGAGTCTGCCACGCAGAAGACGCAGGTAACACTGTGTTCTTTGTGGCTGTCAAGGCCAACAAGCACCAGATCAGACTGAAGAAACTCTATAACACTGATGTAGCCAAGGTCAACACCTTGATCAGGAGAAGGCATATGTGCGACTGGCTGCTGACTATGGCTCTTGAGATGTTGCCAACAAAATAAGAATCATCTGAGTCCAGCTGGCTAATGCTAAATATAAACTTTTTCAATACATTAATTTTTAAAAAAGAACATTTCAAGCTTTTGAAGTATAATGGGTCTGTGGTAAGATGCTATCTCTCTGACGACAAGGAAGACCAATTAATACTAGCACTCAAGTTTAGGCACCAACCAACAAAGCCAGTGGTGAGGAAATTGAATTCTACCAAGTCTCCAGCCTGAAATTGGTCAAACATGTAATCCAGCTGCACTAATAGTTACTGGTGACTAGAATGCAAGAGTTGGAAACAGATACAGCATCAGTGTTTGGAAAGTACAGTATTGGTGATAGAAGGGAAACTGAAAACTGCCGGATAGGAGTCTGCAACACCAACAGTTTCTTTGTGTAACTGAGGAGCTACCTGGAAGGGAGTGTATGTGGCCTAAAATCTACCCTTGACACCACAGAGCTTGGGAGGCTGACTCTCATGTTAGAGGAAGATCTCCACCTTTCTGGGATAGAGAGAACGTCAAATACATATTCTCCAGATGGAAAGACAACCCCACTATAGCCCTCCATGAAAAAGGTGTCTACTATAAAGATGTCTCCTACAAGCACCTGGCTATTCCTTGTGCGACTGGAGAAGACTTGTCTTTAAAAGCAGTCAAATTATTGTGTCAAGGAGCAGTGGACTTTGATACTTATCATAGGGTGAACTCAGGAGACCTCCAAGGTTAAGACGCTGCCTGTTCCTATTGGGCATGTGCCTGCTGGAGGCTTGCTGTTAAGTAAACTTGCTTTCTGTCCTACTCCTATCCCATCATCAGGGATGAGCCCCTGTACCTTGCTTGTCTGCCTGCCTTATTTTCTTTAATTGCACACGCTGCCTCTGCGGACCCATACGACTGTGGGGCTGGATCCCCCAAATTTCTTCATTGCAAAAACTTTTTCAAACAACATATAATGGTTACTATACATGTGGACCTCACCAGATGGCAAACACAGGAATCAGATTGACTACATCTGTGGGAAGAGAATCATCAGCCCAAACAAGGCTAGGGATCAACAGTGGAATAGGCCATCAATTGTTTATACACGAGTCCAGGTTAAAGTTGAGGACAAAACAAATATATTAGAGCCAAATATAACTGATTAGGTTGTCAGGTGCCATGGCATCGTTTCCTACCCACAGTGTGGTTGTAGTGGGGGTTGCCAGCCCCCTACCACTAATCGTGGGTTTAAATAGCCCAGTTGTACAGTTGAGATATATAAATATTATATTAAAGTCATTGAGAGCATGAGAGATAAGAGAGAGATTGAAATAATGGAGTCAGACATTTCATGGTAGCATGCTCACCTCAGCCCCGCTTGGTGGTCCATGTGGAGAGGGGGAAGGGAAGGAGGACAAGGGGAAAGGGAATGGGAGCAAGGAAGGGAGAGGAGAGGGGGAACCGATGAGGTCAAGGGAGGAGCTCTCAATTGCTAACCCAGGCCTATATACCTTTGTGGGCGTACAAGCCCACTAATTACAGGTAGACATACGTCACAGGAAGGGGTTGTACTATAGGTACAGTAGTGGAAGGGGATGGTCTAGGGGCGTACACACAATAGGAAGAGGAGGGATTGGGCGTATGCATGTACACAATAGGAAGAGGGATTGGGGGTATGCACCTGACAAGATGGGCGATCCTAGATTCAGGGTGGCAGCTTAACTTTGGACGTACATAAGAACCATTATCAGTAGGGTTAAACCCCACCTACAGGAACCAAGCCTCAGGGAGGAGAAGTACATTGTCCTCCGCAGCAGGTAGCAGGCCCACCCTGCTTACTGATACAGCAGTCTGCCTGGAGGGAAGTACCTTTTACCATTAGCTGCAAGCAATGTCCTAAGTCTAACATATTTGGGGGAGACGACATGGGAGAAATCTTTGTTTCCCACACCACAGTACTCCTACCCACAGAACAAAATGCTGGCCACCCTGCCGAACTCAGGAGAACATCCCAAGAACGTATTTGATGCATTGACTACCAACGATCCCAGACTGGACTAGTTGTGCGGTGACATCAAAAGCATCATACTTGGAGAAAGCGAATAGCAAAATGGACGCTAGAAAGGGCTGACATTTGCTCTTGAGCAGAGGCTAGCTAAAGTGAATGGAAAAAATAAGGAGCTGAACCGGAAATCTCAAAAGGCAGCTTAAGACAAAAGCACTATAATGAAATGTACAAAGACTTGGAGTTAGGAAGCCCAAAAGGAAGAACACAGTCCATATGTGTCAAACTGAAAGAAATGAAGACAAAAACGGAGCCACAAGTTGCAACACTGAAGGAGTCCATGGGCAAAATAGTGAATGGCTGCAGGAGCATCAAAGGTGGAAGACTCGCCGTACCACAGAGAATGGGTTGGTGAACCATTTCAAGAGGTAGCACATGATCAAGAACCAGTGGTGTTGAAGTCCAAGCTGCACTGAAAGCATTTGCAAAAAAGGCTCTAGGAACGGACGGAACACCAACTGAAAGTATTTCAACAAACATGCAGTGCTGGAAGCATGCACTCATCTGCCGAGAAAACGGGAAGACCACTTACCTGGCCAACTGACTGCAAGAGATCCATATTTGTGCCCATTCCAAAGGTGACCCAAACAAAAACTCCCAACTCGTGCCATCAAGTCAATTCCGACTCTCAGTGACCCTGTAATAGGACAGGATAGAATTGTCCCTATGAGGTTCAGAGATGTTAACGCTTTACAGGAGTAGAAAACCTCATCTTTTTCCCATAGAGCTGCTGGTGTTTCAAACTGCTGATCTTGCAGTTAGCAGCCCAACTTGAGTAACCACTAAGCCACCAGGGCTCCCAGAATGTGGAAACGATCAAACAGTAACATCCATATCACAGGCAAGTCCGTTTGTGCTAAGGAGCAGTCAGCAGTAATTGCAGCAGCATGTTGACCAGGACTTGTCTGAAACCCAGATGTACTAAGAAGAGCGTGGCACAAGGGTGTCATTGCCAACATCAGAGGGGACTTGGCCGAAAGCAGAAATAGCAAGATGCTTGTGTTTTATTGAGTGTGCCAAGGCATTTGACTGTATGGATCATAACAAGCCACAGATAACATTGCAAAGAATGTGAATTCCAGAACACCTCATTGTGCTTAAGCGGAACCTGGACACAGATCAGGATACAATCGTGAGGAAAACAAGGAGCTGCTGCGTGGCTTCAAGAAGGGGTGTGTCGGTGTTGTATCTTTTCACCATGCTTATTCAATCTGTATGCTGAGCAAGTAATCTGAGAAACCAGAATATATTAAGGATGTGGCATCAGGATTGGAGGCAGGATTAACATTTGCATAACAACCTGTTATGCAAATGACATAAACTTGTTTGCTCTAAACAGAGGCCTGGAAGTCTTTACTGATAGGGATCAAAGACCATCTTCAATACAGATTACAATTTAAGAAATTAAAGTCCTCCCAACTGAATGGATATACATGATAAACAGACAAAAGATTGATGTTGCCAAGGATTTAATTTTACTTGGATCCATAATCAATGCCCACAGAAATAGCAGCTAAGAAATCAAGTCGCATTGGGCAAATCTACAACCAGTGACTTAATCCCACAGTAAGGCACACTGACGGACAAGCGGTAGTGCTTGTCACCACCACTGCCAAGTGAGCGAGCTCTCTTGAGTGTTCATGAGCAAAGATGTCATTTTCAGGACTGTGATGTTTGTGATGTTAGGTTTGTGTCAACTTGGCTGGGCCAGGGTTCTCGGTGGTTGGCCATTAGGACTAGTAGTCCCCTTTGATGTAGCATGTTGTTAGGTGCCGTTCGGACCCACAGTGACCCGTGCACAACAGAATGAGACACAGTCTGGTTGGTCCTGTACCAGCCTCACAATTGTTCCTATGCCTGAGCCATGGATGCAGCCACGGTGTCCATCCCTCTCGTTGAAGGCCTTCCTCTTTTCTGCTGCCCCTCGACTTTACCGAGTGTGATGTTCTCCAGGGACGCCATGTCCAAAGTACATAAGACAAAGTCTTGCCATTCTTGCTTGCTTCTAAGGAACACTCTGGCATATTTCTTCCAAGAAAGATCAGTCTGTCCTTTTAGCAGTCCATGGTACTTTCAATTCTCCTCCAACACCATAATTCAGATGCACCGATTCTTTAGTCTTCCTTATTCAGTGTCCAACTTTCATATGCATAATAGGCGATGGAAATTACCATGGCTTAGGTCAAGTGCACCTTAGTCCTCAGAGAAATAGCCTTGCTTTTCAACACTCTAAAAAGGTCTTTTGCAGCAATATGGCTTTTGATCTCTTGACTGCGGCTTCCACAAGCACTGATTGTAGATGCAAGCATGACAAAATCTTCAACTTTTCCGCCATTTATCAATTACCCACTGGTCCAGTTGTGAGGATTTTGGTCTTCTTTACATTGCGTTGTAATCCACACTGCAGGTTGAACTTCACCAGCAAGTGCTTCAAGCCCTCACTTTCACCAAGCAAGGTTGTGCCGTCTGCATAGTGCAAGTTGTTAATAAGCCTTCCTCCAATCCCGATGCTGCGCTCTTCTTCCAAGAAGTCAGCTCTTCATGCTCAGTGTGCTCCTTTATGGGACCTGCAATGAACCAATCGTTTGTGACATTGGGGCAAGATGCAACACTTCTAGTCAATTACCCCTGATCCAGTCAACCTAGGGAGCTTTCCGCTTGCTTTTCACTGGGTCTGATTCATCCTCCAACCTCCAGCTCCTTGGACTAGAGCGCGCAGTCTGCTACCTTGCCTATCCTGGGAGTCATCCTCAGCCTGCCACCGCCCCTCATTTGTCTCTACAGCTTTCTGCCAACCGGGGGCTCATCAGCGCCTGCAGCTACAGGAGTTACAAGCCTCCAGCCGAATGTCTAACCCAGACTTGGAACTTCGCCACTTCTACAACTCTCTGAGCCACTTCCCTGATATAGACCTCTCTCCCCATCTATGAAAGTTCTGTAAGATAAACGAGCCTAAGACAAGGACTAAGAAGGGCCTGCCCCAGGCAATGTCATCAGTGACCTCACGGTTGTGAGAAGGACGGTAAGGGAGGAGGAGAGTTGATGCATTTAGACTATGGTGTTGCTGACAAATTCAAAGTGCCATCGGCTGCCAGAACCAGCCTGTCCTGGGCGAAGTCCAGCCAGAACGCTGAGAAGAAAGGGTGAGACGTTATTTCATTCTTCAGCTGCGGTCAGAAGGGACCCACCCTTGAGGGCGTTCTGATTGTGCGGGTGCAGCACACCTGCGCAGTGTATTCTGTGGTTGTAGGGGGTCCCCAGGAGGCACTGAATTTGCTCCCGTCAGGGCTGTCACTCTTACTGTTACCATGACGCTTCGAGTTGGGTGGCGTCTTCCACAAGCACAGCGGCACACGCTACTTTGTTGGGGATTTACCATTGGCTTCCTTGTGGCTCAGCTCCAGTGTGGTAAGCTGTGTCTGTGAACCGCTAACCTCTGGGTACCGGATTGAAAGAGGACAAGAAACAACCACTGCACGGACCCACTCGAGTGTGTGACCCTTAGGGCTTCTGCGGCCACCTTGGCTTTCTCTCAAGGTGGGGCTGGGGGCTTAAATCACTGCCTTTTCCTTGAGGGCACCTTGGCTTTCAAACTGTCATTACCCAATGAGCAAGACAGCAACCCCCTTGGACACTGCCCCCGAGTGGGCTGACTCAGGGAGGGTGACCCTCCTAACCTCTGCACCACCAGGCTAAGCAAGATCCACGCAGCCCAACCCTGTTCCCGTGCCCAGTGTCTGAAGTCAGTTTGTAACTACTCATTGTGAGGACCACAGTATAATCCTGGCCACAGGTGGGCCACTCCCAGACCTGCAAGGAGAAACCCTGTACGTGTGGGCTGCGTAGGTAGGGACCAGTGAAAGTGTGGCTTCAGGTCAGTCTGCCCTGGGCCCCTGTCCACACTGCCTAGTCCACTTCCAGAAGGGCCAGCAGGTCTGGTTCCACAGGCCCAGTGAGTGGGTCTGCTGCCAGGGCACTGACCCCCTCTACCTGCAGCCCCTCACCCATCAGGGCCACATCCAACCCCACACATTCACAGGCCCCCAGCCCTTGCGTTTGTTTCCCTGTGCGGCTCTCGAGCAGACTGCTGCCACACCCACCTGACCTCACAGGTCCCTGCTCGCCCCTACCTACAGCATCCTTCTAGAAGCCAGAAACGGCATTCTTGCATGGCGCCCTTCCCGCCCTGAGGTGGCAGCCCAGTACAGGAGTGGAAGCAGAACACACACCAGATTAGACTTTATTACGGGCACGGGCACAGGTGCAGTTGCACATCATCCTACAGCAATGCCCAGGCCCATGTGGGCACCCGGTGAGTCCCAGCAGAGACTGTGGGGCAGCTTCCAGGGTCACAACCCAGGCAGTCACCTGGTCCCAAGATGGGCGATGCTGACCCAAGTGGCACCCTCGCAGGGTGTGGCTGGGGCCACCCACTCACCCCTAGTGCCCAGGTGCTGCTCAAGGTGCTTGCCAAGATCTGTCTGGTTGGTCTGGACCTCTCCACCCCCACCAAGGTGGCGCAGTCTTCCGGACCCATGCGGGAGGGTTTGCTCCAGACAGTTCACAACAGAGCAGCAGGGGCAAGGCCCTGGCACTCAAGCTGTGGGGCCTTAGGAAAACAAGAGTGTTGGGTGTGACAGTGACCAGGGACCTGGCCTCAGACTGCTTCTAACACTTCTTACCATCATGAGGAATGGGGGCCTGGGAGCCAGTGCACAGGCGCCCTTCCCCCACGTCCCTCCGCCCCATGGCCCAGGCACCTACACCCAGAGCCCCCCCAGCGGCTGGTGCGCAGCGGCATGGATGGCCTCCTCGGTCAGGGCGCGGATCTCCTCGTGCACATCCTCGATGCTCCGGGAGGCGTCGACAGTCTGCGCAGGGAAGGTGGAGTGTTAGTGCTGGCATGGACTTCCCAGGGAATGCCCTGGGGAAACCCCCCAGTAGCCTCTGTACTCAGCAGGCGGTGGTGATTCTACACTGTGTCTTAGAATGGGTGGGGCAAAAAAAAAAAAAAAGAATGGGTAGGGCTGGAGAAGGGGCTCCCAGTGGGCGGGACACAGTCCACAGGCACCCTAAGGTCTGGTTCCCACATGGCAGGGGCAGTCTAGACGTGGAGGGTGCAGGAGGCCTCACCTTCCAGACCAGGCTTGGGTCCTGCATGAGCTGCTGGAAGCAGCCCAGTGCTCGCTCCTGGAAGGCCCTGTCCTCGTATCGCTCCTGGCCAAAGCCACCACGCCGTGTGGCCTCAGCCAGCTGCAGCTGCAGAAACAGCACCAGGTCCGGCCTGGGGAGGCCCACGTCTGGCTGCTTGCACCAATCCAGGGAGAAGCTCTGTGGGCAGAGCCAGTGGTCACGGAAGGAGGTGAGGTAGGGGAGCCATGTGGGCGGAGACAATGTCAGAGGCCAAGGGGGCTTGATGTCAGTCACAGCGTAGAGGCAGCATAGTGTGGGGGAGTGGTGGGCTTCTTCGAAGAGGAAACTTTTTTATTTAGTGTTTTCATGGAAACCTGAAATGTAAGCTCCTGATCCTGCCAGGTTGGCTCCAGTTCTGACGGAAATGTAGACGAAGCCCAGCCCAGCTTATCCACCACACCCCAGCACTGAGGACATGGCTCCCGTCAGGTGGACATCCTGCTCCCACAGCCTCTCTGGGTGCTGGCCTTTGTCATGGTCATGTATCTGTCCACTGCACTAACAGACAAAGGCTACCAGTCCTGCACACGAGGACAAGCAGAGACTCCCAGCCAGTGCCCTGTCCTGACTACGGACGTCGGAGAGGCTGGCTGCATGGGGGTGGGGTGGTCATGGGAGGGTTCCAACCACAGGACACGGTGGGGGAATCTAGCATCACTGTACTTCAGTGAAGCCTGGGCCCAGCTGCTCCCACTGCGGTGACACAGAACAAGATGGCAGCACAGACCATGGAAGGAGCAGGCAAATGGGGTGCAAAGGGTTTGTAGTCGAAAGAGAAGGGTGGGAACACTCACCCTGGTCCCACTTCCTGGCAAGACACCCTGGGGCTGGGGTCTGATGCTCAAGAGTTCTCTGATGAAGGACAGCCATGCCTGGTCCCACCATCGCTCAGGAGCGGTGGCAGGAAAGAGGGGCACTAATCCCTGCCTGGGACAGCAGTGCGGAGACTGGCAGTCAGTCCAGCACACATGGACCACTGCAGGAGTGCTTGAGCTGCCCAGGGCTACAGGCTCTGCCCCACTCACCTCTTTGGCTGCTGTAAAGGCGACCCCAGAGAAGGCGTACCGGTCCACGACGAGGGTGATGCCCTGGTCCAACTTGTCTCTGATTAAAGGCCTGCAAAGTGAGCTGGTGTCAAGCTGGCCCGCCGCATCCTACATCCAAACATGGCTGGCAGGCTGCGGGGTGAGAGTTCTGCAGTAGGCACGGGTGGCCTCTGCTGTGGCCCTCATCCAGCTGCTTGGCACTCTTGGCAAGGCCCCCTAAACAGGCCCGTGCCCTGGTGATGCAAAGCATGCACAAGGCACTGAGCGGGGAGATGGGGCACTCACTCATGAAGGGCATAGGGGGACAGGAGGCCAGGGGGTGAGGTTCCTGCCTGGACTGGCAGACAGGAGACCATGGCAGGCAAAGAAGGCAAAGCCCCAACTTGTGGGGGGTCACGGGGGGTGGGGGGGAGGGTGGGAAACAGAGGTCTTACACTGACTGCAAAGGGCAGGGAGATGAGGTGAAAGGGGGCGGGGGGAGGCACAAAAGATGGGACTGAAGGGTGAGGGTGAAGCTGCAACAGGGTAAACCCAGCTGGGAAACAGTGCTGGGAGGCCCTGGGCCCAAAGCCACCAAGGAACTGGGTGACACTCGGCTGACGTGTCCCCAAGGCCACCTAGATCTTGGGACACACACAGTGGGAGGTGGTATTAGCAAGAAGCAACCCTTCAGCAAAAAAAGAACTCAGAACTACTCTGCTGATTCGATAAATCCCAGGGTTGCCCACTGAGCATGAGGGGGGTCCTGGGGGGGATGTAAGAGTGTGTGTTTACACTAGAACACTGGGGACAATGAGGGTGGTGGGGGCAGGGGGCTTTACACTCGCTCCCAGCGGTTCGCAGAGAAGAGCAGGTGCACCGAGTGGTCCTCCACCTCGCTTTTCTTCTCCAAGTAGGAGCTCAGAAGCTTGCCAATTTCTGTTGATCTTTCTAACAAGAAATGGGAAACACACACGAGTCAAAGTGCGATGAAGTTTTCCGTCTACATCACAGGACTGTTTGGTTTCAACATCTCCTGGACTTGGGGATCAGACAATAACGGCTTTCAGAAACACTGGGCAGGTGACGCTTCAGATACAGGGGGCTTCGATAAGAAAGAAGAATCCCTCTGATTCATGGACGAACTGGCCAGACCACCAGAATCCACAATCCACAAGTCGCCATTTTCCACACTTCCCTTGGCATCTGAACACTGGTTACATTTTCATAATTGTATAATTGTGTTCAAGGCCCCTACTTTAAAGCTACGCCATACTCCCCCCCCCCCCCCCCCCCCCCATCTGGGATCACTCATCAGTGCACCCAGGATAGGGTTCGCAGAGGTATCCACGAGTCTCTACGCTGGGACAGGGTAGTTTATTGCTCGTCAAATTACAGCCCCACAGAAGAATCAAAGCAGCAGGGTTTCAACGTGATTTATGCCACGGGGCATACATTTAGTCCTCTTGCCCTTCCAAATTAAGTATGGGGAATGCTGGTGCCATGACTCCTGTGTCCCAGGTGACTGCAGATAAAAGTTCCTAGCCTTCAGCTAGGCCCCAGGTCCCCGCCGCTTGGGGAGAGCTGGCAGCAGCATTACAGCGCGCTTGCGCAGCTCAACCTCCTAGCAGGAGCCGGGGAAATGGGGACCGCCTGCGCCTGGCACGCCGCACGACCCGCCCCGTCCGCCCAGCGACCCCCAAGGGCAGTCCCGGGCCTGCCGGGCGCAAATGGCTCTTCCCCGCCATTCGCGGGAGAGCGAGGGCCCGGGGCGGCACCCACCCGGGAAACGGAGCAGCTCCGCCCTGTGGCCGGCAGCGCACAGCGCGGCCACCAGCTTGCGACTCTGAGTGCTTTTGCCGGCACGGTCTACACCTTCCAGAACGATCAGCGCTCCGCGCCGACCCGCCATCGTAGTTTCCCGCCTCCGCCGCGCGCGACCCGCGGCGCGGTTAGTACGTCACCCGCGCGCCAAGGCCCTATTGGCCGGCGTCGGCCGGCGTGCGCTGGGATTGGCTGGCGTCAGCCGCGCGGACTGAACGCTTAGCACCGTCATCGGGAGCCTCCTTTGCCGAGCCGCAGAGGGGTAGGGCCGTGCGTACTCCGCCTACGTGGGTGACAAGTGGGCTTGTCTTGTGGTGGTAGTAACAGGTATGGGTAGTGAGAGGTAAAAACCGAGACACAGAACGAAGGTAGAATTGAGACAGAGAACGTGAAGTTAAGAGCGACTTTATTAGAGGAGAGAAAGAGCTCCCAGGAGGGAAGGGAGAGCAGAGAAAGGGACGAGAGCATCTTGAGCTCCCAGGCGGTTCCAAGACCTAGTGTTCGGTCAGCGAAATCGCGCCTGTCAGCGGGGTGGTGGGATATTTGTAGGATTTGGGTCAGGAAGATATGCAAATGAGGTGAAGAGAGCTGCCGGTAAGGAGAAGGGAGGCTTCCTGGACCAGCTTCTTGGGATGTCGGGGAAGAGGCTGCACAGTACAGCTCTGGCCTTGAGAGTGGGGGGAGGGAAGGCGAGGGGAAAGGGGCCGCACAGTCCAACGTCTTTTTAACAGGCTGGGGAAAGGGCTGCATGAGCTAGCCCAAACAGGCAGTAACACTATATGCCTTGGTACATAGGGGGTTACACACCGGGCCACTAATCACAATGTCTGCAGTTTGAACCCACCAGCTGCTCTGTTGGGGAAAGATGAAGCTTTCTTCTCCCATAAAGATTTACAGCATCCGAAACTCACAAAGTCTGCTCTTCCTTTCTGTAGGGTGGTTATGAATCAAAATCAATGCAGTGGTAGTGAGTGACCCAATTAATTTGTAGGAGTTACAAGATCATGGCCAGAAAGGGCATAATAGAGACAAACCTGTAGTATTAAATTAAAATATGACGCTGAAGGAGGGAGGTGGAGGGCCAGCCCCCACCCGCTGCTACTACTATTACTACTACTCGGATTCAATAATGCACAATTGTATGGTTTGAGATATATAAATATTATATTAGAGTCATCGAGAGCATGAGAGATAATACAATAATACAGTCAGGCATATTACATGGTACCATTGCTCACCTCAGCCCAGCTTGGTGGTCCACGTGGAGAGCGGGGGAAGGGAAGGAGGGGAAGGGAACAAGGGAGAGGGGAGTGACCAGGGAGTGAGCAGCAAGGAGCTCAGAGTCAGAGATCCGACGCTCTATATTGCTGACCCATGCCTATATACCTTTTGGGGGCATGCCAGCCCACTAATTACAGGTAGAGACATACAACACAGGGAGGAGCTGCACTATAGGTTACATAGCAATGAGTGGGTGGTCTAGGGGGTGGTCTCTGGGTCTCCATAGGAACCATTATCAGTAGGGTGCAAACTCCTCCTACTGGAGCCTGTCTAATGGCCTTAGGCTCCAGAGAGAGGTTACCCATTGTCTCTAGCAGCAGGGAGTAGGGCTAGTGCAGCCAGGCAACTGATCGCCCTCAGGGGGCGAAGTGCCTGCGCATCTGACCTCCCCACACACAAACCCATTGGCCTGCAGTCATGGTTGTATCCTCTTACTAGACTGTCTGTACACTGAGCTGTGACAGCCTGAAGGCTGTCCTATGTGTAAAACATGGCCTCAGGTAGGGAGGAAGGCTTATGTACAACCTGTGATGTGTGGAGGACACAACTTTGCTTTCTGAAAGTGAGAAGGACTTGAAGCACTTGCTGATGGAGATCAAAGACTACAGCCTTCAGTGTGGAGGACACCTCAACATAAACAAAAAATCCTACAACTGAATAACATCATGATAACTGATGGAATATTTAAGTTGTCAAGAATTTCATTTTACTTGGATCCACAGTCAACACTCGTGGAAGCAGTAGAACTCAAATGATGTGTTGCATTGGGCCAATTTGCTGTGAAAGGGCTCTTTAAAGATGTCCCTTGATTGGACTCAAGTGCACTTTATCTAAGTCATTAATTGCCTAACATGCATTCAAGAGCTGCACAATTAATATGGAAGACTTAAGAATTGAGGCATCGGAGTGATGGTTTTGGTGAAGAAAACTGAAAACGCTCTGGATTTTCAAAGGACTAAATCTGTTTTGGAAGTACAGCCAGAATACTCTTTAGAAACAATGGCTGAGAATTCGTCTTGCATACTGTGGATGGGTTGTCAGGAGAGACTAGTGAGTGCTCCCTGGAGGAGGCCATCATGCTTGGCATGGAGGAGCATCAGAAAGAAGGAGACCTTGAAGGATTGGTTACACATAGTGGCTGCAACAATGGCCTCAAACATTGTAATTGTGAGGATTGACCAGGACTGGACAGTATTTTACTCAGTTGTTGTGAAAGTTACAAAATCAAGTGTCAAATTGGGTCTCGAGAGGATTAAGAGTGAAGGGGTGGAGTCTAGTATCATAGCCTATGAGGCCTCTTGTGTGCGCATGCCCTTCTCTTGAGGATTCTGGGAACTTCTGTTTTCCCCCCAGGGAGACAGGAGACAGTGTCTCTCTCTGCTCACTCACTTGGAGACTCTACTGACAAGACTCAAGACTCACTCCCTGGGAGATGCTCTACTGACAAGACACATGGAACTACGCTAGTGCTCTGAGCTGGAGGAGCCACATAGAGATCCTGCCAGCACTGAGATGCTTATACCGCCACTGGATCCACAAGATTTCCCACCCACTGACCTGTGATCTTCCTGCATCATTGCATGTGTTGCATAAGTCTAAAGAGGTCTTTATAGATTAGTATCGGACAGATGGGCTAATATTAGACTTATGGACTTGATCTGGCCTGGGCTGGGATGTTTCCTCAATATTCAATTGCTCTTGTATATAAAGTTCTTTCTCTTTTTTTGATGGTGAATTTTGTCATTTATGTTTTTTTTAAAGTAATTTTATTGGGGGCTCATACAACTCAACACAATCCATACACACAACCATTGTGTCAAGCACATTTGTACGTTTGTTGCCTTCATCTTTCTCAAAACATTTTCCCTCTACTTGAGCCCTTGGTATCAGCTCATTTTTCCCCTCCCTCCCTGCCCCCGCTCCCTCACGAACCCTTGATAATTTATAAATTATTATTTTGTCATGTCTCACACTGTCTGATGTCTCCCTTTACCCACTTTTCTGTTGTCTGTCTCCCAGGTAGGGGGGTAGATTCTTGTGATCGGTTCCCCCTTTCTACCCCACCTTCCCCTCCCCCTCCTGGTATCACTACTGTCATTATTGGTCCTGAAGGGTTTATCTGTCCTGGATTCCCTGTGTTTCCAGTGCGTATCTGTACCTATGTACATGCTCTGGTCTAGCCAGATTTGTAAGGTAGAATTGGGATCATGATAGTGAGGGAGTAGGAAGCATTAAAGAACTAGAGGAAAGTTGTATGTTTCATCGTTGCTACACTGCACCCTGACTGACTCGTCTCCTCCCCACTACCCTTCTGTAAGGGGATGTCCAGTTGCCTACAGATGGGCTTTGGGTCCCCACTCTGCACTCCCCCTCATTCACAATGATAGGATTTTTTGTTCTTTGATACCTGATCCCATTGACATCTTGTGATCACACAGGCTAGTGTGCTTCCTCCTTGTGGCCTTTGTTGCTTCTCAGCTAGATGGCCGCTTGTTTATCTTCAAACCTTAAGGCCCCTTATGTTATCTTTTGATAGCTGGGCACCATAAGCTTTCTTCACCACATTTGCTTATGCACCCGCTTTCTCTTCAGTGATCATGTCTAGAAGGTGGGCGTCATGGAATGCCAGTTTAATAGAACAAAGTATTCTTGCATTGAGGGAGTACTTGAGTGGAGGCCCAATGTCCATCTGCTACCTTAATACTAAACTGTTGGGTTAAAGGGAAGAGGGAACCCCACAAAACATCACAGGTTCAGTAGGTGCAATTGTACAGCGATAATAAGTAGAGATTACAGTAAAGTCATAGAGAGCATGAGAGTTAAAGGATGGAGTCAAGTAAGGGAGTCAGACACAATTCATGGTAGCATTGCTCACCTCAGCCCCGCTTGGTGGTCCTCGTGGAGGGGGCTTAGCCGTCAGAGAAGAAGCCGCTGCCTCGTCCTCCTTAGCCACCTTCTCCAGCCACCCTCCCGAGAACCAGGGAGCCTCATTATTTATTGCTAACCACGCATCATATCACTTTAGGGGGATCTGATTACAGAGTCATATATCACAGAAAGGGGCAATACATTTCATTTTTGAACAGGTTTGATCATTCTGGTGTCTCATACAATAAAACAGACAATTACTATTCTGGGAGGCATGCAAGTCGCCTGATAGCAGACAATAACCTAAGTCATAGAGAGGGGTTGTAGCATAGGCAATACAAGCAATAGGAGGGGGATGACCTAGGGGTGAACGTGCAATAGTAAGAGGAGGGAATAGGGGGGCATGTGTGGCAAGCTAGTAGCCTAAGCTTAGTCATCTTAGAGTGGTCCTGGGCTTGCCTATGGGCACTGCTTTAAGGGAACAATAACAGAAAAGAATGGGCCCTATTTGTTGTGGGATAAACAGTGGTATCTACTTGATCTAGACAACTGATACCTCTCAGTGAGAATGACTCCCAATCCATTCTTGATGGCTGATGTTGAGAATAACCTCTGACCTACTTTTGCTGATCACCTAGTGAACAATCATTCTCAAGCTAAATCTGGCATATATTTTGGGGAGACAACTTAAGAGAAATCCTTCTGTTCCCCACACTAAACCTATAAATATATGCACATAGATCTATTTCCCCATCATATATATTTACATATATACATGCCTGTCTTTAGACCTCTATAAATGCCCTTAGCCTCCTAGTTCTTTCCTCTATTTCCTTTTACTTTCCTCTTGTCCCACTATCATGCTCAGCTTTCATTTCGGTTTCAGTAATTCCTCTCGGTTACATTGCCCTTGATCAAGCCCTACCAGGCCTCCTACACCCTCCTCACCATCGATTTTGGGTCACTTGTTCCCTTGTCCCTTGGTTTGTTAACACCCACTTCCTTTCCCCACTTCCCCCTCTCCCATGACCCCCAGGAACCTGGGTCTGTTGTTTTCTCCTCTAGATTGTTTCTGCCTATCTTATCTAGATAGACCTGCAGAGATAATATGCACAAAAAAAGACAAAGCAACAAAGCAAACCAATGACAAAAAAAAAGCATGTAAAATAGTTCAAGGTCTGTTTGTTGGCCTTTAGGACTGTTTTCCAGTGGAAAATGATGGGGTGCCGCACGCTGGCTCCAAAGTCTATTTTTGGTATTCCCTGGGGACTTCCTTGTTCTGCTCCCCTTGCTGTTCTGTTGCACACCTTTAGTGTTTTGCCTCGGTGTGGTTCTTTCTTATACACATATTGAGTGTATCTGAATTTGTTTCTCTAGTCTACCCAGACTAACACAGTTGTGCACGGGTCCCTATGAGTTAGAACCCAATCAATAGCACCCAACAATAGCAATCCCCTTGAGTTAGCAATGCCAATTTACTCTAAAGAACTAACTAGCAATGAAGTAGCTTAAAGATGGCAGGAAATCCTTGCTTTTCCTCCCTCGGAAGAGTTTAACTCCACTCACCTGAAACCTGGGTGACCTCAGGCCTAGTGTGACAGCAAAAGGTGGAGGAAGCTTGGGGCTTTGCAGAAGAGGCCTTAAGAGTTGTAGTACCACCGTATAGACTCGAGTAAAGGCCGACCCGAATATCAGCCCAGGCCCCTAATTTTATCACAAAAACTGCATTAAAAATGTGTGGAAAAACCTGAGTTTGTACATGAGTATATACGGTAGCCGCCATGCCCCCGCCATGCCAGCTACCACCACCAAGTGCTCTGAGAAGGATCACCTTGGGGGGTCTTGGATGGAATGGGAGAAAGATGAAAACAAAACTCAAAATCATAAAAGAGACCAGTTTTTCAGGTCAGATGACACAGGTCAGCCCACACAAAACATACTTCAGGTAGAGACAGGTAGGGCCCTGTCAAGAGGCTAGCCCTTAGTCACATCACTGAGGTCTGAACTGAACTTGCTCCCGTGTTAGGAAAACCAACCGTTAAAAAAAATTTTAAACACCAAGCGGAAAGCGAGTGTTTTGAGAATGATGAGGGTGACTGTAGTATTAAATAAATGTGTGGCACTGTGGGAGGGTGAGGGGCCGGCCCCCACCCGCTAATTGAACTCACTGGTTCAGTAATACTACTTCTGGGTTCAGTAATGCACAATTGTACGGTTGTGATACATAAGTATTATATTAAAGTCATCGAGAGCATGAGAGATAATACAATAATACAGTCAGGCATGCTACATAGCAACATTGCTCACCTCAGCCCAGCTTGGTGGTCCACCTGGAGAGAGGGGGAAGGGAAGGAGGGGAAGGGAACAAGGGAGAGGGGAGTGACCAGGGAGTGAGCAGCAAGGAGCTCAGAGTCAGAGAGAGAAGTCCTGCCGCTCTATATTGCTGACCCATGCCTATATACCTTTTTGGGGCATGCCAGCCCACTAATTACAGGTAGAGACATACGTCACAGGAAGGGGCTGCACTATAGGTTACACAGCAATGAGAGGGTGGTCTAGGGGGTGGTCTCTGGGTCTCCATAGGAACATTATCAGTAGGGTGTAAACCCCTCCTACAGGAACCAAGCTAATGGTCCCAAGCTTCAGAGAGTAGTAGTCTATTGTCTCCAGCAGCAGGGAGCAGGCCCAGCCCTGCTGTGGGATGAGACAGCAGTCTGGCAACTGATTGCCCTCAGTGGGGGAATGCCTGCGCATCTGACCTCCCCCCACAGGTGACGAATGTATAAGTGTGATTTACACAGTTGTTGTATGTGTGGATTGTGATGGGAGTTGTATGAGCCCCAATAAAATGATTTTTAAAAAATTTAAACAAAGAAAAACCAACCATTTAAGATCAAAAGGGCAGCATTTATCCCAGCACAAAGTTCAGAAGGCTAAGACAGGAGGGATGGAAACAGGAAATGTGGGGTGGGGCTGGGGGATAAGTGAAGGTACATTGAGGGTGAATTGAAGCAGAATATATATGAATTGTTGAATGGGACATTGATGATATGCTCTGTAAACCTGCACCAAATTCCCATGAAAAAGTTAACAAAAAACAAAAAAGAGAGAGTCTTCAGCGTTGATGATGGCCTCCTGGAACCCTGGAAGCCCTAACTGGTCATAATAAGTTCAAGTAGCTGAGACTGCTTGCTATCAGTGTGAGGCTGTGTGGAGGCCATCTGGTCCCCACCCCCAGTTGAAGCAGCCTTCCAGGCACCCCAGCCATCTATATTAATTCACAAACAGAAGAACCACCTTGCTGAGCCCTGCTGGAACTGGAAACCCTGGGGGGAAATACTAAAATGGGTGTTTCAATCACCAAGGTTTCAGATAGTCAGCTACAAAGCTGACTGGAGCAGACAGCTGTGTGTGCAAGCTAGGGCAGTGTTCACAGCGTGAACATTTGCAAACAGTACTTCTTCCAAGGGTTTGCAAAACAAATTGTGGTACATTTAATTCTAGCTAGCAAACAGGACTTGGTTGGGTTACTTAAGGTTTGAGGGCTGGATGTTGGATCACGTTCGAGTAGGAAGTCAAACATGTAAGTCGTGGAGAAATGGGTCATGTGTGGTGACTGGTAAAACATGGACTGTAAGGGCGTAGTACTCCAAACACTCGTGTTTGGATTCCGAGGTGAACAAGACACAGTCCTGTGTCTTCAGATGGGAAAATTGTATAAGTTCTTGTGTGGGCTCTACTTCTGATGTGGAAAATCAGCAAACACGTTTTTAGTCATCGGTATTTGCCTGTGGTTTGAGGGGGAGTTAACAGGTGAAAGTACAGTAGCTGTAAACATAAGCTTTGAGTAGTGGAATTGTCATCGGTCTGGTCCGCTGGATGATTTACATAGCCAGCAACCCTGGGATCTGGGTTACACACGGGCTGGGCTGGGGGAGGTGAGATGGGAGAGGTGGCCTAGTTCTCAGATATTTCACCCAGTGGTCAGCAGTCCCTGCACTCTAGGCGTCCTCTACACAGGAGCTCTGGGGAACAGGCTGGAGGCACTTGCTGCTCCCGTGGCGCTGGACTGGGGGGAGCCCTGCTGGATCCCAGCGAGGTGGGTTATAGAACGTGGTCCAGATGAACTGCAGCCATGATGGCATGATAGAGTGCAGAACCAGGAAAGGACCCTAAAGTGTTAGCTACACTTCCGAGAGCAGTCTCACCTCCAACACCTGGCCACATTGTAGCATTACAGCTTACTGCACCACACCCCGGTTGTCCGGGACCTCCGGTGAGGGGCAGAGGTGGGACCGTGCAGGTACCTGCCAGATCCTCATTAGGATGGGGGTCAGGAGGGGCCCGCTTGAGGCTAGTGTGGTGATGGCGGAGGTGGGGCTAGGGGGAGGTTGGGGTAGTCAGGAATAATATAGCTCCGAGCACCTGGGATTACGCAGGTCGGGGGCAGAGGAAAGAGGGAAGGGCGCAGGGTGGGCTCCGTGAGCCAAGCGCACGCGAAGGGGTGCACGTGCTGCCCTGGCCTCACACACCCTGGGCCCTGTCCCCGCATCACCCACGAACCTCCCGTAGTGCCCTGAACTTCAGGCCCGCTAGTGTCCTGTCTCCGCACGCCCAGGGCCCCCAACCCCGGCAACCCACGCCCCCAGGCCCCAGTGTCCCC